GATGATGAAGATATATCCTAGGAAGTAACTGCATATCTAGAGATGGGAAAGTTTTAATATTGTATTAAGGCTCATGACAAGGCCTTCAAGGTTGAAGAAGACCATGGGTTTAAGGCAGGATTCATTTTAGTCCACTTCTGGACTTGAGGCTGCGTTTTTCTCCAATCAGGAGAGTCAGATGTGGGAACATAATAGTCCTGGTTTTTCATTTGGATTTTAATTTTAGGGTTTAAGGATTATATTTTATATGTCATTATATTTCGTTTTTATTCTACATGTTTATAGCAAAGATGGGAATGTTGAGATAGGTGAGTGGTAAGACAAGACAGCAAGCTAGTCGTTACGCCATTTGTCAAGTCGCTACTTATGGCAAAATGAATTTTACTACCTTAGGACAGATAGAGTTACTACCACAGTTTATCAAGGCTTCCATTCAAATCTTATAAGACTTCTTCTTTCGACCTTCCAGTTAAGAAAGGATAAAATTTCGGAACGAATATATCCGAGAGACCTTAGGTGAACCTCCAATAGGTGATACAATTAAGGAAAGTAGGATTTAATGGTCTGAACATGTGTAGCAACGACCTAGAAAAACACCAGTTAGGAGGGAGGATTTGGTTTAAGTCGAAGGCTCTAAAAGGGCATGGGGAAGGCCCTAAAGGATATGGACAATGTTCAAGAAGGCGGTTGCAGGCGCCTAGGCGGGCACCCAGGCACAAAGGCGGCCTGCATTGGGGGGAGGGGCAAATCCTTGTGGATAGTGGATTGTTGGACACCCCACCCCCCCCTTTTTATTGTACATAGAATTGGCATTCTTTTCAAATTAGTCATCTCAAAGATATTCAAATATGGTCACCTAAAAAATTACAAATAGCAAATGAAGTAAAAAGAATTATTACATTGACCCTTTAATATCTTGCAATCCAAGAATGAGTAAAGAAAGCATGATCAAGGCAAAAATGAAAAAATCTAGGTATTACATATCAAAATTGCAATGATATAACACATAAAATCGAAAAACCATATTACTAATGCAACTATTTAATAAACAATTGTTAAACTAAATTGTTAAACTAACTCATAAAAAAAATTTCTGGGGATAAAAGTTATGATATGAATCATACAAGCAAACTCATGCACAAAATTAGAAAAAAATATATTCATTGGGTTTGGAGACAATGGACTTTTTCCATTGAATTGCTTTCCCAAAGACTCAAACTAAATATCAAAATGGATAAATAATCCAAATAGTTCTTTTTTGGTGAATAATAATCCATATAGTTAATAACATACCAAATATATATCATAAAGTATCTAAAAGAAAATACAAAAAGAAAAAAATAACATCATAAGCCATTGTGAACAAATAAAAATACATAACCTAGTAAAAAATATTGAAATATAGCAACCTTCTTTAAATGGAATCAATACCATCCCAAACAGGAAAGTTTTGGTTCTCAAATCTCCTCTTTTAGAACCACTATAAGCCTCAAAAAGATTTAGGATGGATATCCTTTAATTACGTGACCATTAGAGGAGGTTGAACAAAATTCTGATCTCTTTACAAATCTTCAAATCTTGTTTTTTCAAGGTTTTTCTCACTCTAAACCTCTCTAAAAATATTTTGGGTGGCAAGAATGGCCCCAAAACCCTTTTCCCCCATTTTAGGGGGGGAAATAACGAAATTACCCAATGGCTGGGGGGCATTTCCGCCTAGGCAGCGGCCTTTTATGCCGCTTAAGCGGGCTTCTTGGGCACCTAAGAGGCCGCCTTTTATACCGCCTCGAAGGGCGCCTAGGCAGGTGCCCTGATGCACTCGCCTGGAGCATACCGCATAGTCCATGCCTTGGCGGTTTGAGAAGATGGCCACCTAGGCGGCAAGGCAGCCGAATTTTCTTTCATTAGATATGGATGGAAGTAGTGAGACAAGATTGTGACTATAGTCTTATTGTCTGACTGAGGGTATGGCCCTTGATAGAGCAGAATGCTAGAACATGATTCATGTGAGTGACCACAAATAGTTGGGATAAGGCTCAAATAACAATGGTGATAGTAATTATATTTATTTATACAATAGTTTTTCTTTGTAAGAGGAGAGAGTTCATTGCTTAGTTAACACCGGGGCAAAGTTGATATTTATATGGTTTTAGGTTTCAATTTAAATAGGAGAGCATGTAGGGTTCCTATTTTAATGGGGATCGGTTGAAAGGTGCATACAAAGGTAGGGAGAGAGAAGGAAGTTCGTTGGAGTCCTAGAAAGTGGGATTTTGTAAAGAGTATGTTAGATAGAATATTTCCCAAAACTGTGGTGCTAAAGAAGAGGGCACATGTGGATAGGAAAGAGGGCGGATCCTAATTTATATTTATTCTTTTATTTTACTTATTTTATTTTATGTATAAAGGGAAAGACGTGACCTCACATGTAGAAGACTTGGAATCTTTTTTAGACTCTAAGTGATAGAAAAGAAAAGGTGCGCTTCCTTGGAGAAAGATTGCACAGCTGATTCTTCTCTCTTTTTTCTTGCAAGTGTTGTGCTTGATTTAGTTTCTTTTTTTTTCCCTTTGTTGTTGGAATTTCTTCTCTCTACTCTCCTTACTAGTTTTATTGCGTTAAAAATAAATCTGATGTCTATGATGTGTTTATTATCATATACAAAACGATACATACTATGAGAAAACATTTGCTCTAGCCACGAAACTTACTACAGTTTTTATCACATTATCAATGAAGAAGAAGAAGAAGAAGAAGAAGAAGCAAAGGCTGAGTCAAGCTAAGGCCCTTGCCTTGGCAGAAGACGCTAGGTGCCAACTTGGATAGCTCCTAGGCTACTTAGACAGGTACCTAGAGCCCTCAAGCCCAGCCAACCCACCCCACCCTTCCAAAGACAAAAAATAAAAAGAAAAAGAAAAGAGGCACCCACCTAGCCCTTGGCAAGGTGCTTAGGGCTGTAGCCCACCTCAAGGCATTGCCAAGGCATCAGATAAGACCTATTTCACAATAGCAGTTTCAAATGACAGACATGGGACTTTTATCATATTTTCTTGATTTGGAGATTAATTATTTTTCTCGAGGGATCATTGTTACTCAGCACAAGTATGTCTGTGATCTCTCCCTCGAGCTGAAGTCACTAACTCTAAGATTGTAGATCACTAGTAGACTTAATCAGTTATCTACATCTGAAGGACACCAGCTACAATTGTGTTTTAAAAGTCTCCTAGAACTTTATTAGTACAACTACCCCTGTCTTTTAGTGAGAATTTCAATTATGCCCTTATAAATATGAAAAAAATATTCCCTTGTCTTTTAGCTATAATTACACATGTACCCTTCCTTAATGATCAAGCTACCCATAAAAAGATAATATTTCAGTAAAAAACAACCACAAGATTAGTAAATCATCATTCACAACTCTATCCAACCTTAACCTTTATATTTTTAATGGTTGTATAGAATTGATATGTGTGTGTATGTGAAAATATGTGTGTTTATGCATAAAGTACTGCTAGGGTGTTCTCTTGCAACCACATTAGCAGATCGTCTTGTGCCCAAACAAATAGCTAGGGGTATCTTTTTAATCTAAAATTTTTTAGATCCTTTTTTATTCACCTTTATAGACAGTTTTCCTGAAAAAATAAAAATAAAACTAGCCCTTAAAGCCCTAGATTTGATTGTCCGTCAAATAAAGTCAATATTGGAGAGGGATTTGATTTGGAGCATTTTTTTCAACTCCAAACAATTGTTTTATTTTTAGAGATGAATAAAGAGGATCTCAAAAAATTTACATAAAAGGAAATTCTGATGATAATGTGTTTTGAGCATGATGTGTTGACAGTTGTCTTGCCAGACCACCAAATCTTTTCCCTCAGGCATATACATATATAGTGCATTGTGAAGCATGCAGCACACATGTTGCATTTCACTGAGTTGTCAACAACAAACGGTTGAGATGAACCATTCCCCCTTCTAAGCAGAAACTAACAAACTTGTACTGAGGAAAGGTTCATCTCATCTCAACCATCTATTGACAATGGATGACTGCAGTGCAATGCAGCTCACTGTTTGTGTGGTGCATCACATTACAGTGTACCTTTCCAAATTATATTAATACCATAATTTACATATATCAATCAGACTTTTGCTTTCGAGACATAGTAATTGATATATATTGTATTACGTACATGACTTTATATTGTAGCCATAATACTCTAATTTTATATTTATATATGTCCTAAGAGTATGCAGCACCAATATTGGTGTCATAATAATTGTAGATACCACTAACCTAAGCATATATAGGATTGGGAACTTCCTTTCTTTTTCATGCTCCATGAAGAAGACACAAAATACTCTGGGAAACAGGAGTAATATTTAAATTACGTAGATATACATAGCAATTTTTTATAAGGAATAGCATCATTGAACATAAATGACCAGAATGAACATAAATGATCAAATATATCACATAATGGAGCTGTTAATTAACTATGCAATGTAAATTTCAGAAAATTAAAACAGCCTAAGTCGTCTAGATAGGCTAAAGATATGGATATGGTAGGGGGAGTGAGGATATAGCTCTACATTTCATGAAAAACGGGGAACAAAGAAGAATGGTGGTACCCTATTTTCTAAAAATAACATGTTTAGGTTTCGTGATTACATGAAATATTATAATGTGTATAACATTTATTTTCCCACTATTATAAGTGCAAATGATTTATTTTGGTCCAAAAACTAAGAAAAATAATTAAACATAATATTACTTTTTTTTAATATAAGTTCAGGAAAAAGTGAAACATAACAAAACTTAGCAACCTGCCTTGAACAATTGGCCCTCAAGTGCCATGTTCCTACAACCAACCAGACTCATACATAACTCCTATCTATATTCGATGTCACATCCAATAAGCACAATTATTATCATAAGAAGCAGTAAATTGGGTGTGACAATAGTGTCCTGCTGAAGCTTGGAAACAAAAAGAAATAACCTGAATGAACTTACCTATGAAAAAAACTAACCAGAATGCACCTTATAAGTGAAGTTATTGACCTCTAGCGTAATTCAAGGACGGTCTTCAAAAACTCAAACTTGGAGCCATCTCGGATTCTGCCAAGACCAGATCAACCCGCCAAATTAAATAGTTAACAATGCAAACTCAGTGAGTTTTTTTCAAACTTTTGTTGAGAAGAATTTAATAGAAGAGTACGTGTTGATAGACGACTGAACCCATCTCATCACCTAGTCACACCACAAAGCTCCCATAAGAAAATGACCATGTGATTATCGAATCTGTATAAATAAAAATACATATAACACAAAATGCAGACCATCCTGAGTTTTTTTCATTTATAAAACTCACCCGCTGGACAAGTCGATCTGAGTCAGGTAAGATTTTCTAACTTGAAACAAGTTTTCATTCACTGCTCTAGAAAATCAAAAGAAAGTTATAACTAGTTTATCAAGCCATCCGAAGTAATTAAAGTAACCAAAATAGTGGCTACTATGTATTCATTCATAGCACACATTCAAACAAGCATAAAACAATCATAGAGAAATTTAAGGGCACCATTGTAGATACACAAAGATCAGACTCGAAAACGGTGTCAACACGAAGTTAGAACTTTGAAAGGATGTTCTAGAATCTAAAGGTTTTAAAATTAAGAGGACTAAGACATAGTATATAGAATGCAAATTTAGTAATAATAAGAGTAGAGACGAGGAAGTAGTTAAGATTGATGGCCAGGAAATACCAAAAATAATGTACTTTCGATATCTTGGGTCGAAACTCTAGGAAAATGGAGAGATTGAGGAAGATGTCACACATAAAATTAGAGTTAGGTGGGCAAAGTGAAGATGTGAAACCGGAATTTTATGTGATCGCCGCATACCAATGAAGGTAAAGGGTAAGTTTTATAGGACAACTGTGAGACCAACTTTGCTATATGAGGCGGAATGTGGGGCAATCAAAAAACAAAATACCCATAGAATAAGTGTAGTGGAGATGAGGATGTTGAGATAGATGAGTGACCAGACAAGAAGGGATAGAATTCAAAATGAATACATTCAGGAAAATTTAGGTGTGGCATCAATAAGCGATAAGATGAGAGAGAGTAAACTTAGGTGCGCTGATCATGTGTGGCGCAAACCCAATACAACACCTGTTAGGAGGTGTGAGTTAGTTTATGTGGAATGCTCAAAAAAGGCAAGGGTTAGAGGCCCAAAAAGACATAGTTGGAAGTAGTGAGAAAAGATATGGGGACTTATGGCCTCACTGAGGGTATGTCCCTTAATAGAGCAGAACAGCGGACTAGGATTCATGTAGCCGATCCCAATTAGTTGGGAAAAAGCTTTGAAGATGATGATTGTAGATACACAAATAACTTGTGAAACTTTTTGAAACTTAGTTAAAAACGTAAAATTAATAAAAAATCAAATTTGGAAATAATACCACACAAAAATCACCAAGTAGCCTTGGTAAAAGATATGATATAGCACCTTATTGGTTCGAGCATTGAAATCAAAGCTAGTCATGAACCAAGGGCCTCAAGCCAGCACATAACAATTGGGACCACAAGATTATCTTAGCCCGAAATGAGTCACACAAGGCCATAGAATCTAGTTTCTTGACTACTATATGACTCGTGAATCAACGGCAACTAATGGCAATCAAATGATCATGTAATAGTAAGGAGTCAATACTCCGCAGCCACATCCACTTGACCGGATGTTAAACCTATAAACACTTGCACAAGTGTTTATTTGTGGTTACCCCCATATTTGGAGTAAACACATCATTCTACCATTCGAGATGGCTAGACAACAAGAGGGTGGTACTTTTCTAATGGAACCTCTACTGTAATAGACAATCTTGATGCAACTAGGAAATGGAGGACGACAAATATAGGTGAAGATCTTCTGGAAAAGCAGTGATGTTGAATTGAAGCCTTGCTAGGCAAGTATCACGCAATGTCCCTATGCGTGAGAAAGCCAATCGAGAGCCTATAATATCTGGTCATTATTATCGTAGATACACAATTAGAACCTTAAAAGAGTGACTATCTCTCCTTAGCTTGGAGAATTGCACTGACTAATAAGACATTTTTGATAGGCTTGAAGTTCAGCTTGGTATTAGTGATTCTCTACTTAGAGTAAGTAAAGAGGATGCTCTTTTAAGTAAGATTAAGGAATTTGGACCTATGTTTTTCAGGCGGGATCCTTGAGTTCTGGAGAGGAATTACAGTGAGTTTGAGATTTGTAGAGCTATGTCTTTGGTTGGACCTAGCTTTCAGGGAGTGCGCGGTGTCTGAGACTGGTTCTAGTCAAACATCATCCTCAAGAATAAATTAGAAACTGATGCACTTTGTGAGGAACATGGAGGCTATTGTCTAAGAATTAAGATGCTCTGAGTTTTCAGCTTTCTGATAATTAGATTACCTCAAGTTTTTAGAGTATAATGTCTTCAATGTCAAAAGAACCACAAAGGATGCCTAAATGTCCACAAAATTTTAACTTCTGATTGAGAACTTTGCTTGTGGATGAGCCAAGCCAAATCAGCTGGGTCGCAAGTCTAGTGCCCTGGCTTGTAAACATTGTTTCCAATAAAATGTCTCTCTTGATTGGTAGCGACCTTTTTGACTGATTCGGACTTTTCTTGATACGTAGTACTTTCTAAGAAAGATGATAACTTAGCAACTAAATGAGATCCCAAACCTGACATAGTTTTCAGAGAATTTTCTAATTTGTTCTGCAACTTTTCTCGACAGTCCAGGTCAAGAAAAGAAATCAATAGTTTTCAAAGAAGTCACTTCTTCGCAAATTTAATTTCATGCCAGCAAATATGCAATTTTATGATTAACTCCCCCCAAAATTCAATTTCACGCCCGCAAAAATGCCATTCCATGATCGACTCTGCCACAAAACAAGTAGTTAAACAGGCACTATTTATGTATTTCACATAGCCAGCCATATGTCATTTTTAGAAACAACAAAAGAATAATTTCCTGAAACAGCAAATCCTTGGTAAGTAACATCACATTTTGCCAGCATATACCTAGAGAAAATAATAAAAAATACAAATCCAAGATAGAAAAACAGACCCATCTCTGAATAAATATAGAGATTCATGTAATGTTGTTTTCAGATGAATCGGGAAGAGCATCGAAACATACCTGAGTGAGAAGAGCGTGAGGTAGTGGCAACTAAGCCATGGATGCTTTTTTACCCTACTTTTTTATTATTCCTTTTCCTTTTCTTTTTTCCGTTTGGAATGTATGGTCTGAGATTGCGATCGCTCCCTGTCACTGTAGTTGATTGCTTCACAAGTTGCAACTCAGGATGCATGTGTACTTAGATAATTTGTTCGGATCATTTTCATTTGCTTGCTCAATAGACTCTTTTTTGCACTGTAACTAAAAAAAAATTATCCAGTAACTAAATATCCAGTAACTAAAAAAAAATTAGGTGTTGTTTTGTATAGAACGGAGGTTCTAAACAATTAAAGTAAAGCATACCTTCAAATAATATTGAGAAATGTAGTTTCAATACTGAACATGTTTGTGATAGTCTTAAAATATATTTCCATCTTTAATTATAAAATTTAAACGTTAAAAAATAGTGTAGATCGACTAGATCTATGAAAACTTTAAAATCTTGAAATTGACGATCCAAAAATTTGTTATAAGATGTATTATTTTTAAAATTTGAAATTTATTTCTTTTCATGTCCATGGGTCGTGATGATCAATTTGAAAATATTTGGGTATCAAAACAACTTTTTCTAGTGAAATTTTTGAGTGATTGTTTAGAACCTCAGCTCTATATAAACTTTTTTCAAAAAAATTTGAAGACCTGAGGGCCCTTTGCTGAGACCGAGGGGGCTATAGGGCCGGCTCTCACCCTGAATCGGTTGAGTGGGCATAATGAACTTAAATAAAACAACAAAAATTTTACTTTTCCTCTCCCGTAAAAACCCCTTGATCGATCGATTTGATTATCAGTCCATCCATAAACAACGTTAGGTTGATAAATTTGTTTATTTTTGCTCCGTTTTGCATCTGAACCTGAAAACCGTATCCCCCATTGTTTGATATTTTCTCTCCAAGAAAACGATCTCGAATTTATCATGATTTATTGGTAATTTAGCTCTCTAACAAAGCCCTAAAACAATTTTAATCAAATAAAAATTTTGAAGAATTTCATGCTCAAAGATTTCTAACTTTTTTTTTTTTGTCATCAAAGTTGAGAGTTCACAAAAAGTTAAATTTGGAGTTTCAACCGCATCTTCTTCTTTGAGTAGGGGTGGCAACGTATAGGGTCCGCGACGGGTCCATCCGAACTTAGACCCGACCAGACCGAAAGTTATCGGACCCAGATTCGATTGGACTTGAACCCCACATGGACTCGATTGGACCCAATCCAAAAATAAAAAATATATATATTCAAATATTATGTTAAATATATACATGTATTATTTAAATGCTATAACTAAAAATATGTAGTTATATTTATTTAAAAATTAATTAAATATTATATATTAAACATTATTTTATAATAACATTATTCAGGTCGGGTCCAAGTCCAATGTTTGGATTTAATATTTAGTCCCGGACCCGTCAGGTCCAATTCTTAGATCCATACCCACACCCAAGTCAGGTCCGGACGTCGGTTCCCAGGGCAGGTCCGGGTCCATTGCCACCCCTACTTCTTTACAGATTTTGATTTACAAGTTAGGTTCAATCTAAACCAACCATTTGTTTTTTAAAAAAATAATATTTACACTTTGAAACATTTTTAATCTTCTTTACTGATTTTTGGCTCACTTTAGTATTTCTATGAAACAGTTACTCAGTTTTCAAGGAAATTATAAATTTTTGTAAAACGTTGTTGATTTTTTTATGGGTGCGGTTTGTATATAGACGAGGCTCTAAACAGCTAAAGTAAAGCACACCTTCAAACCGTATCGAAAATGTGGTTTCACTGCTGAAAATCTTTGTGATAGCCTTAAAATATATTATCATATCTAATTATCAAATTTAAAGCTTCAAAAATAGTGTAGATCGAGTAGATTTATGAAAATCTTGAAAATTGACCGTCCAAAAAAGCATTATAAGATGCTTTATTTCCAAAACTTGAAATACATTTTTTTCTCATGTCCATGCATCTTGAGATCGAGATGATCAATTTAAAGATATTAGGGCATCAAAACAACTTCTTCTAGTGAAATTTTTGAGGTGTGCCCTAATTTGATCGTTTAGAGCCTCACACTTATATAAACTTTTTCCTTTTTGTGTGTACGAATGATTTAGATAAATTCAATACTGATCTTTTTCCTTAAGCTCTAACGAGATCATTTTTTTTTTGGGTCAGGTTCTATTCTTCTGCTTCTTCTTTTCTTTTTCTTTTTTTTTAAGGCTTTTGGATTTGTGAAAAATAGTAAATTTTGTTCTAGGTTACGTTAGGATTTATTGAGGGATAAAGCTCTGATAGTGATGATGATGTTGGTGGAGGTTATATTATGATAGATTTGGATAATGTTTTGTTTCATTTTTTTTTAAGTTCTAATAAAACTGATTTTTCTTGACTCGGTTCTTTATTTTTCTGAAAATATTAGGATTTGTAGCTTTTAATAGCTGTGAGAGCATGTAACTTCAATGAGAGTGTGTATTGTTTGATTGGCCACGGGTGAAGAGGTTTATAACCTTGGGCATTTCCAAAACCCTTACTCCTAGGCATGCAGCATTACCGAAAAGGTTTTATAGAGGGTCATCCCTTGTTGAGGTTGGAGAGATGCCCAAAGATAATCGATAGGTCAGGAGAGCTATGTGGTCTCCTATGCGTGGATGTAGATATGTGAGAACAAGGGCTAGATCTTCAATAACCTACTATACAGCATGTAGTATAACAGTCGTACTACAGCGAACCAACCCAATAGAGCTATACATGTATATGTACATAGAGATAGTCTCCGTTATATTATAGTGACATGTGATTTGTTTGCTTTTAAAGAGAGTAAGCGTAGTGCACATTCTGGGACTGTGGTTTCACTATTTATTGGCCCATTTTTACGAGTCAATCATATGCCCATGCATGAGATTGTTGGTTATGGGTGTCATTGGATTTGTTTGAGATGACAGTTGTGGCTCATGGGCACAAGGTCAAGCGGAATGCCCTTATAATCACTTTATTTTGACTCGTTGGTACTAATTCACTTCTAGATATTTTATTTTTAATATCATATATGTTTATATGAGTTATAGAAAAAATTTCACAATTTTTAATATTTATTTTCTATTATGACTTCCTTCAAAAGGGCATTCTCAAAAATATGGGAAGAAGGAAGGACACATATAGGGCCCATGGATCCAGCCTCACATGTGTTTCATACCCCATGGGGGGGGCTTAGGACCCACGAGGGCTCACATGTTACCCATAGGGGTGGCAAACCCTTTTTTTTTCAATAAGTTTTTTTTATAATAAAACATTATGTTTGAAGTTAAGTTAGTTTAATAATTTTTATATGAAAAAATTGTGTCTTTATTTTGGGGGAGTTAGTTTTGACCAAATATATTGTTTTAAAATCTTACAATTTTATGGAATATTATAAATTAATTTCTATAAAGTTTTCAATTGATCTAATCCTAATTAGACTAGAAGTGGATGTGGGTTAAATACTAAGGAGATAATATTCCACGCTTTCTAACATGCTTATTTATTATCTTTCTCTTTTTTAGGCTCCAACAACGATCATTAGTAAGCTCGAGCAAGTAATGTACAACTTCCTCTGGTCTTTTACGTAACAGAAAAAGAAATTTCACTTTGTTAAAAGGGATGTTATTTGCCTTCCTAGAAAAGAAGGTGGGCTGGGGATCCACCAATTGAAAGTAATTACTGAAGCCCTATTGACTAAATGGTGGTGGCACCTCTTGATCCATCGATCTCAACTCTGGGCTTGGGAGCTTATTGGCAAATATGGGGTGGATCCTGATGGGATTTGGGGGCTCATAGCAATAGGTTACTTAATTTCTCCCCGGTTTGGAGGGTATCAACACAATGCGATCATTGTTTTTGGGTTATTCTATAATGCTTCTAGGTTATGGGAGGTGGATCAGGGCAGGATAAGTGGCTTGGGGATTACCCCCTAAAGGATTTATTTCCAAATGTATAATAGAAGATCGACTCAAAAGTAGGAAGTAATTGAAAATTTGATCACCGTAGATGGTAATACACTGCTCTGGAACATCGTTATGGATGTTATACGGGTGGATCATCGGGTGGCAAATCAAATGGCTTCCTTGTTATTTGCTTTATACACCTTCTGTTTCTATCCTAGCAAGGAAGATATATTGATATGGACACTGGAGGCCAATGGTTCTTTCTCAGTTCGATCTTTATATTAGATCCTTTTCAGAGATAGATACATTGCAGACATATCTCATTTAGCAAAATTTTGGGATTGCAAGACCCTTATAGGGTTAAGACCTTCCTATGGCTCTTGGGATCTCAACGATTACTCAACATCGATCAACTTTGAAGAAGGAGCATGATCTTAACCAATATATGTATTCTTTCTAAGCATGATGAGAAGATGATCGATCATATCTTCATACACTGTACAGTGGTTGATAAAGTTTGGAACTAGTTGGGATCCTTGACCCAGTGGAGTTTCCCACACCTGGAATGTATCTCTGGTCTGCTGCACCAAGTCAGGTTTCCGCCTTTCTCTACAATTGGAATCAAACAATGGAGGATTGCTCTGGCAGCTTCATTATGAAACTTTTGGAAAGAAAGGAACCTTAGAACCTTTGAGGGTCGTACTAGGGATTTCCAATCTCTTTGCGCAATCATCAAGAGATCCATCGTCATGTGAGATTTTGCTTATCTTCCCCTCAAGTCGGTCTCTAAATAATTGCTCTTCACCCATTTTAGAGAGCTATTATTCTTTAAAAATCATCGGCCTCAATGTGTTTATTCTTGGGTTACCTCGTCGAAGGGTTGGGTCATGCTTAATTTTGATGGTAGTGTACGGTCGAATGCCTAGGGTTACGAGGGTCTACTTAGGAATCACAAAGGCAAGGTTCTTTGGTCCTACTGCGGATCCTTGCATGTTTGTGAGATCAATGAAGCTGAACTGTGGGCCTTGTATCATGGAGTGTCGAGGCTTGATCCAATACACCACCAGGTCTTGATTGAGGGGGACTCAGCTAATGCCATTAAATGGTGCTGCAATATGGATTCCACATCTTGGAAACTCACTCTATCATGGACACCATTGTTC